CTCTAGCTGGGGCAGGTGCTCTGGAGAAACTGCTGTACAGAGAGGGTGATTTCTCTACTTTCTCAAATTCTGTGCATTATTTATTCAGGCAGTTAGGGGTGGGGTGCCTCGCCTTGTTTCGTTTTGTTTGTTATTTTTGTTATTGGTAAGGTCAGCCTTCCTCTCCTCTCTCACTGGCCTTCTGAAAGGCTGGTGCATTCCCCAGGCGCAGGGTAGCTCTTAAGAGTTGGCTGCATTTATTATTAGTTGTTGCTCAGATCATCACCAGTGTATTGGCGCAGTCAGGACAGGGTAGCTCGGCTGGGATGTGGAGTAACACACAAAGCAGCCTGTCACTCACTGTGCCCTTGTCTGTCCTTTTTGGTCCCCCCCTGAGCCCTCGAGGGCTAGGGCACAGGATGTTTTCTCTGCTCTCTCACTCTTTGGCCTGGCTTTGCTAGTCCTTCTCTGTGTTAGCAAGGAGACAGACAGGGAAGAAAGAGGTTCCCTAAATAGACAGAGAATCTAGTCCCTGCAGGACCAACACTCACCCTCTCAGGCCTGGTTTTTCTGTGGGATACAAATGGGGACAAGATGGGAACCTTAGTTTTGTTGTTGTTGTTGTTGTTGTTGTTTGTTTTTTGTTTGTTTGTTTGCTTGCTTGTTTTGTTTCATTTATTTCTTATAACTTTGCAGAACATGTGTTAATCACAGTATTCAGAATGCTTAATTGCTAACAATGGAAGTGGTTACTTTATAGGAAGTATTATAACCTTGAGAAAATGAGCCCAATTTACTGATTTCTATGGTGAAATGTTCAGTGTATCGATTTCCAGAGATGTCCTTCAGTTTGCTGTTGTTTGCTTTCACAGTCTGTAAATATGTTAACTAAACTTGTAGGAAGGAAAGCAGGAAGATTTGCTGAAATCTTTTCAAAAGCCATGCCCTGGATTCTAATCATGGGACTGAGCAGCTAAAAGCCACTAGAGCAGACAAAGGTGACGTCACAGGGGGCCACTGAGGATGGAAGAGTGAGTCTTTGCTGCCAGTCCTCTAGAGGTCTGCAGTAGGAACTAGACACAGCCAGGTGCTCAGAGGCTCAGAACAGCCTGAGGGATGGTAGCCACAGACTGGCACAGTGAATTCATGCAGACCTTTGCATATGACCTGAATTAACCTGTATATCCTAGCAGCACCTTGACCTCAGGCCCTTAGTGCATGCAAATGCAAGATAGATGATGCTCTCCATGGGGTTAGTTAAGAATAGAGGTGTATGTGTGCTAAGCACCCAGCAGGCTCCATAAGCAATGGTGAAAAAACTCACCAGGCACAGCTTGCTGCTGAGTGGGAGTTCTTAAAAATGGTGATGCCTCAGACTTTGACCTGTGTAACCTGGGAACCCCCCCCCCCCCCAGCCACAGCCTTTCCTGGAATCTCCTGGCTTAGAGTTGTCAGCCTGTTTTCAAAAACAAGATCCTTGGAAGTGAACCATTTGTTATAGTTTAGATGTTTAACCATTTCATGTGTTAGCCTTAAATTAAGTTCAGTTTTCTGTATAGTGCTCTTCACTTCAAGTGTGTGCTCACTGTCTTAGCAGGAAAGTGCCCAAGGTAATCTAGCACTTGGCTTATTTTGTTTCAGCAAACAATAGAGCAGGAACAGCTACCATGAGAGCCTCTCTTCAGTGACTGCTGGGGGGGGGGGGCGGTTGGGTAGGATCTGCCCTGTTCTGTACTTGTGTCTCACAGCCTTGTCAGGGAGCATGAACTGAGATCACACATCATCACTTCTCCTTCTGGGTCATAAACTTGTAATTTGGTGCTTAGATGTGTTTACATAATTGCAACACACACTCTTCATTCAAATCTATGTGAATACCTCAGAGAAGCAAATGGGGTACTTTCTGGCCTACCCCCTGCTCAGGGTTGTTTTTTGGACTATAACCCTGCATGAAGTTAGATAACTTTGAAGACACCATAGTAATCCCCGTCACCTGCCTAAGCAAGACAGGAGTTGGTATTCTTCCTTGAGCCATGCAATACCATTGGCTTAGGCCATAGGGAAGCTGCAGCTGCAATATGGGACCATTATGTTTAAGGCGTACTGTGTATGGCAAGCACAATCCAGATGTTCGGTTTGTACATAGGAAATCATTTCTCACAGCATCCCTTTCACATCAGCTGCCACAGTCCCTGCTTATTATCTGAGGACATAAAGGCAAATGCCATGGGTTATATAGCGGGACCAGACTTGAGTCTAATACCTGTGGATACCACATCACTGAACAAAATTCCAGCCAAAATCTGTATGAAGGGGGAACCAAATGAGCAATGAGGAATCAAATGAAGTAATGTAGAGTGTCCTAAGTAGACAGCCCCCCCTTCCTAGATAATCCCATCCCTGCTTTGGCAAAACATGAGTGGGTAACAGGCCCAGGCAAATGTAGCCAAAGTGGGTTTAGAGTGGCCTTCCATTCATCCCTTAAGCGGTGTTGGCAGTGAGCAGACACTGGAGAACCAGGTACCCAGCTATTGCACCAAGTACTCATGGCACCTGGTGACAGAATGTGGGCTGATAGGTGCAAAGCCAAGATTGCACCTTTCAGTGTTGACTCGTGGTGTCCCTGACCTCAGAGACCACCTGTCTGACCTCAAACTACCTCAAGGGAGAGGGATTGTGCTTCAGCGCTGCACCCAGTACTCCTCCATAGGTGGGGAGGAGAATTCAGATTCCAGAAAAATTTGCCCCATTGGTTGGACTGTTATACCACTACTCTAAGATTATTAGAAAAAATAATTCTGGAAATTGGCTGCCACATCAATGCCATTTAAGAAGATTACTTGGCACTTTACATATTTCCAGAAAAGTAAAAAAGAAAAAAAAAATCATCCCATTTTGCCAACTTTATTTTTAGAAAAGTATTTTATTCAAACATCCCCTTACTTATTACAGACATAAATACATGCATTCAGACAAATGAATACACGAGAGGACTGTAGAAAGTAATTGGTACATCACTCCAGGATGCTTTGTCAGTTACTGGAAGAATTTGGTGCCTCTAACTTTAATCTTCTCCATTAAAATATCCATTCTGCTTCAGATTGTGAAGCACATAATATTTTAGACTGTCTCCATGGATCTGTTAGTTTTGCTTGTCAATTTAATTTGTGCTCTATGTCTTTGGGTGGCTTGCTAGATTGTTCATGGGAACTTGTGATCTACAAAGAATGCCAGGCATAGAGTTCTAGCTCTCCAGAGATACTGGACATACAGTGTTTGTGTTTTTATATAGATTGGCAGGTTCCATTTGTAACCATCCTAATCATTATGATGGTGAAGGGAACAGCAGCTGTCGAGAGCTACAGAGATGCATGTTAGTGTTGTGATGGTATGCCTGCAGTGTCTATAGGATATGTGCTTTGCAACCCTTTTCAGACACCATCTCATTTAATTCTCAGAGCTTCCTTGGGCTGGATTATTTCCCTCTTCAGAGCTAATGAAAACAGATACAGCAAGAACAGTTCAGTTACTTGCCAGAAATCACAGAATAAATTAGATCACCAAAAACTTTTGCCAAGGGCAGGGAGACGGCTCGGTGGGTAAGCACTTGTACAAACATGAGGGCCGAAGTTCTGATCCCTGGCACCAACATAAATGCATAAGTGCTGGTTAAGCGTGGTGGGCACCTCTAATTCCAGTACTCAATAGGCAGACAAGCTGACTGGCTGGGTGGGCGGTATCTTCAAGCTGTGAGTTCAGCAATAATTAACTTACTAACTCAATAAATGATGTAGAGAGCATTTGAGAAAGACACCCAACTTCATCCTCACATACTACACATGTAAATACATGCACACGCACTCACACATGCATGCACACATTACACATACATGTTTATGCAAAAAAGAGATTGCCAAATGATAACACCAAATGCATTCAAACAAACTAAGCCATCAAAGCCTAGTTGGGGTGTTGTTTGTGGTATCTTGCCATGTAATTGTCCTTCCATCTCTCCTCTCTTGGGCAGAAGAGCTCTAGAGCTATGGGTGCAGACAGGCTGCAGTGGAAGAATTAAGTCCACTTCAGCCATTTGCCTGGACTGTTGTAGCAGCCTTACCATAACCTAGCCTCCACCTGCTCTATCTCATGCCCAGGGCACATTCCACATGTCTCACCTTGGACACAATCACATCACTTGTTATCTTGCCTTCAGGATGGGGTCTCTTACTATTACAGAACCCACCATGCTTATCCTGTCCTTCTTTTTCCTCTTCATCTGCTTATGGTGAACTCTTTAGGTGTTACCTGCCCCATGGCATCTCCCTGACTGCCCTTGAAGAGATTAGTCATTCTTCTACAACCCCACAACCCCGCAGGCTGCTGCTCTTTTCCTAGACCTTTTTCCCACTGTTTGTCTAACTTACTTCGCTAGCAAGCTTTGAGGCCCTAAGTAAGACACTGGTAGATGCCTGTGTCCTATTATCTCTTTTCCGTGCCTCACAAACTCAGAAGTTAAGAGCATGGATAAGTATGTGCATGCAGCATTGAGTGAGCAATTAGTAAGGGAGAATAGTTTTTAAAACAACAGTTTAAGCTAGCAGGAAATTTGCCATTCTGGGGTCACATGGAAAATGATTCATTCCACTCAGTGATGAGCTACAGAGAGATGTCCCTTTCATAGCATGAACTATTGGATGAAGTGAAGAGCAGGCAGCAAGGGGAGCTGGGCATTTGGGTGATGCCTAGCACAGAGCAAAGCATATAAGGATTAAAAAGCAGAGACCACCTCCTGGCTCTGGCCTCTGACTTCTAAGAAAGTTCTCACCAAACTTTGGTGGTAAAGACTCTTCTTGGGGGGGGGGGGTAGAGTTTTTGTAACCTTCTTATTTTCCAGAGTGAGAGCCGACTGTCCAGGAAAAGCCCCTCTGTCATCAGAAAGGTGGAAGGAGTACATAGACTGTCTGGGATCCAGGCAGGATCTAAGCCAAGGGTCCCAATTTTCACATGACTCTGTCTTCTAGATGATGTCTGTCCTTATGAACACCATTGTCTTTGAAGACTGTCGGAACCAGTGGTCAGTATCCAGGCCTCTCCTGGGGCTCATCCTGCTCAATGAGAAGGTGAGTATGCTTACAGGAAGGGCCACAGGGGAGGTAGAGGCTATCAGACACTAAAGATCACGGATAGAGCACTGGGGCCTTGACAACCCGGAAGGTCTTTCCCCAAAGGCTTCAGCTTGTCTTCAGTTAGCAGAGGGCCGACACACAGCAACTTGTGTGTGGATTGCTGGGCAGTATTTCAGGGTCATGCTAGCTGCCCTTGCCATTGCAGGGGAATTCTGAGCAACAGCCCTTTTGCCTTCTCTTCCAGCCTCCCTTTTATATCTGGGGACCCAACACAACCACAGAAGATGACAGCAGCAGCCCTTGAGAGATTGTGCATAGGGCCAGTGTTCCCTTCATCTGGGATGCATGCACCCCAGCCTCCTCAGTGCTCTGGTCACCTGACTGCCTCCCGAGCACCCTGGCTTCCTTTGGAACTCTCCCTGGCCTCTCAGCAGTCAGTAGGAACAGTGTATTACTGCTTGGGAGAATGAATTGTCTATACAATAAGATAGTACTGGGAAAAGACAGTGAGATTAGAGGCAGCCCGCATACATTAAAATTCAAACTAAAATCCCAGCCTTGGAAGGAAACTAATAGAAGAAGAAAATATATCAAAAAGAGAAGAGCTGTCTCATCATTCACCTGTGCTGAAGTATCCAATTTTAGCCACATTCAATAGCACTGTCATTCATCTTCCCTCGGTGTTATTGTGATTTAAATCCAAGCTCTATAAAAGAGAGCAGTTCTTTTAAAATGATTGAGAGGGAATAAGGGCAAATTCGGTGTTTAGAAAAAGCTTATGACATCACAATATTATACTTTACTGATGGAGGCAATATTTCATGGTTTAGGATGAAAAACTAATAATTTTCTATTTGGTGTGAGTCACTGCATCATTATAAAAGGGAAAAATAAGTAGTTTTGTGCATTCCCAATCTTGTTCAGGAAGACATTGTGGTTTAAGTATAATGCCTCTGATATATAGTATTTAAGTATTAGTCTGACTACATATTAATTATGTGTGTTTTTTGATGTGAGCTGTTTTAATGTATGATGGAAATTAAATATCATACAGCTTAGGCTTGAAGAGATAAACATATGACTGGCAAAATGTTATCTTTTGCTGAAATTCTGCTGTTTCCACTGATTAGGAGCTCTGCTCAACATCAGAGCTTAATTTTGTATACAGGACCACAGCCTCCATCAGAAAAAAGGGGGGCTGAGCAGTTATTTGTGACCTGGTATGATAGATTCTGTTCTTTGTGCCACCAAGTGCTCCCAGAACTAAGCAGGCCCCTCTAGTGCCTGCCTCAACAGAGCAGGCCCATGAAACCCATAAGGACAAAGCTGGAGCATAGCCCAGAGCACTCTGAGAAGTAATTCACTGAAGCCAGGGAAGATGAAGAGGCCAAAGGGGAGACCCTTGGCCTTGCCTTCAGTCACCCAAAGTGCTCCTTGGGCATTCACTTAAGTCCTCCTCAGCCTGGATCTCCTCTTCTTTCAGCCTTCCTATGACAAGTAAAGTTGAGACCCTTAGAGGAGGCAAAGATTCATCAGGCTAAACAGTGACAATACAGCAATCACAGCAAGAGACCTTTATAAGCAGGGTGACACTAGGTACATACAGCTTCTGCAGCTTAGGTTTTCTCTAAGGATAGAAAGTTCAGTGTACACCTAGATGCAAGCCCCTGAGCATCAACGAGCACAAGTAGACCCCAGCTGGCCTGGCCTCTTGCTACTTCCTTCCTGCAAGGTTTGGAATGGGAACCTGAGCCTGATGCTGCTGTGTCTCCCAACAGTATTTCAGTGAACTGAGAGCAAGCCTGATAAACAGCCAGCCTCTCCCCAAGCAAGAAGTGCTTGCCCAGTGCTTCAGGAATTTGATGGAAGGAGTGGAACAGAACCTGTCTGTCAAGAACAGAGACAGGTGAGCATTGCCCAGGGGGATCTCTAGGGGCATCCCATAGTTGGACTATAGTTAGCACAGCTCATGGATTGATGTTGCTTTTCCATTACACCTTCTGATCTTAGACCCAAGTCAATTCCAGTCACTACATTTTACTGGGTATTTGCTCATAGATGCCAAGATTTAAAAAAAAAAAAAAAAAAAAAAAAAACATCCTTTGCCCTTAAGCAGTTTATAATCCAGCAGGAAAGAAATGAAAAATAATTAATTGGAAAGAGCAAATGAAGGAGGCTCACATTTTCCATGGAGATGAGGAAAGACTTCTATCCTTTGAACAAGGACAGGCCTCAGGGGTGGACAGAACCGAGTTAAATGTCATTCCTGTGTGTGTAAGCTGTGTGACAGAAAGCAGCAACTTCTCTGCTCAGTCTTGTCTATAGTAAGGAGCTGATGGTGGCATTGATTGTGGTGTTTAAACAACAGAATGTGCTGGGCAAGGGTGGCCCATGCCTTTATTCGGGACACAGAGACAGGCAGATCTTCATGAGTTTGAGGCCATTGGAACCTACAGAGCGAGGGCCAGGACAATCAGGGGTACACAGAGAAACCCTGTGGGGGGAGAAGGTGGGGGCGGACAGAATGCAGTAAAGCATGGTTCTTAGGCCTATTGGTTTCCTCCTCTGCCTGTCCTTTAAGAGCATCTGGTATCATTGGCCAGTGTGATCTAACCAAATTCATCATTCTAAATGAATTCATCCATTCAGTTTGTAAAGTTGCAGGCATTTGGAACCCATGGTAAACAAAATTGTTCCAAGATCCTGGCTTCGTGGAATTTATACATCCTAGTGGATGAGACAGACAGTAAGTAGTCACTGATAAGAAAGAGAATGTGCTCAGGAAAAAACTGCCCCACTGACGTGTCATCAAACACTCTAGCATTTATAGAACACACTGTCGGTCACCAAGTAGGCAGTGCATCCCAGGTATGAACTGTGGTAATAAGACAAGGTCATCTGGGGGTCCAGACACCTCCCCTTGGCAGTTCATCTAACTCTTAAGTAATCAATCCTCTCACATACAGAAAGGGACAACCTTGGAAGGGAAAGGAGAAGGGGGACGTTTAGCATTCCTGAGCTGCTCTATGACATAGTACCAGCAGTCTTCTTAGTCTCATGAAAGAATGGCAACAAAGGCTGGCTGTTGTCCTTGTGCCCAGCACTGTGTAGAGAGAGTATTTTCAGGCAATGTCTCATTGACTATATAAAATTTGCTCCTCAATTCCCTTAAGACAGTTAGTTACTTATATTAAGTACCAAGACAAGTGGTTATTCATTTATTCAGTCTACCTAGTAGTGATAGAACCAAATTTTGGACCCAGGTGGTCTAATCCAATGCCCCTTTTTAAGTTTTTTTTTTTTTAACAGTGTTATATAGTAGGCTAGTCTCAAACTCCCTATGTAGACAAGGATGACGTTTTATTATTACATTTATGGGGAGGTAGGGCAGATGGATCAGAGAACAACTTGGCAGGAACAGGTCCTCTCCTTCCACCATGTGGATCTCAGAGACCTAACTCTGGTCATCAGGTTTGGCAGCCACTGTATTAGCCTGCTGTGCCTTCCCACTGACCTCCAAGGATAACTTTAAGTTTCTGATCCTCCACTTCATAAGTGCTGGGATTATAGACATAGGCTACCGTGCCCCGTTTATGTAGAGCTGGGAATCAACCTAAGGGTTTCATGAATAGTATGCAAGTATTCTACCAAACTGAGCACACACACGTGCGCGCGCACGCACACACACACATACACACACACACACACACACACACACACACACACACACACTGAGCATCTGTACTCTTTCCTAAGATAGGGTTTCATCACATAGTACCAGCTCACTTCAACTCAAATTCATGATCCCTCTACCTCTGCTTTCTGAGTTGCTGGCATTACATAAGCTACCACATTCAACTGCCCCCCATTTTTCATTCACTGAATTCTATTTTAGTTGAAGATACAAATACCTACCTTTGGGAAGACATGTAATGATTAAAATAGTCATATGTAAGCTCAATCCAGTATTTGAGGCATAATGTAAAAAAAATTAATTTAATATTTTAGATAGTAGAACCTCAGATGCTCCCCATCAGAATAGATTTGGTGGTGACTCTTGTTTTCAGGGGGAGGACGCTGCTGGTGGCAAAATGAGTGCCCACTGAGGAGCACTTCCTGTAGGAGGGGTCCTCTGCTGGGTCCTGAGCTCCACAGTGCCCTCCTCCAGCTTTGAGACAGCCTGCTCCTTCACTGCTTCTGTTCCCACAGGTTCACACAGAACCTCTCGGTCTTCAGAAGAGATGTGGCAGAGGCCCTGCGTAGTGATGGCCACACTGAACTATGCATCCTGGACATGATGAGCTGACCCGGCTCCTGAACATGTCTTGTGCAGCTTTTGTCAAGCGACTGCAAGGTCTGGGTCCCGGACTGCGATGCTGGCCAGCCCAGAAGAATGTACTTTTCAGAACAAGCAACAAAAGCCCTACATTTTTATAAGTCTGACCTAATTATAAAAATGTATAATAGTTCACATACCATGTAAATTCAGTATTCAAAGCAGAACATGTTTCAGTCTATCTGAGCTCCCACAATGTTGAAAGATCTGGAAACTATATTTAACCAAAGATCATAATCAACCAGGCTAGCACCTAGTTCGTGGCTCTAAGATCAAGGTTGTCAATTTGAAGATGCAGCCCTCAGTGTGGGTCCTGGGTTGAGACAAGTGCCATTTGAACCTGTTGAATTAGTAGCTCTTACATCTGGAAAATGCTACATTAGGGACTCGGGCTGTGGGCATTTAGAAGGAGCCTGGGAGTGCTATAAAGCCTCCCCCAGGACTGCACACGGGCCTCTCTGCCTCAGCAACATCTGATAAAGTTGAGAGACAGTAACACAATTAAATGACTTACAAACAATGTTTGCTTTCCACTGGCATCAATCTGAAGTGGTTCAGTCTAGAAGAATTGAGCTGTGCAGTTGCTGCCTGCAGAAAGATGTCTTTAGGACTCTGCAAGTCCCAGTAAGAAGTTCTGGGTGCAGCAGCACCTAGTCCTTTTGATTCCGTGTAATTGGAAGAGAAACTGAAGATGGCATGTAGTGTCTGAAGCAGCTCTGACTTCTTGGACCACCCAGAACAGTTCAGGTACTGGCTGTCAGGTTCCCAGAGGATGGAGTTGCTGCCTTCCTTCTTCCACACTCTTAACCACTGTTGGATTGAGACTTCATCCAAACACAGGAAATGAAGGCCTTTACAGTTTGTGACCCATCATAACTAAGCTATTAATCTGAAATCGCCACTGTCAAACGGGCTTCCTATCTCAGTGTTCTGTCTTTGTGGTGCAGGCTTACAATAAACACTGTGCCATTATTTCTGATAAGACATGAAAGGTTGCCCTCACTGTTGCAGGGAAGAAATCCACAGGCTCTTGTTGTAATCTTGTTTTTCCACTAGTGTTTCTTGAAACCTTTCTTGATAGTTGAGTTTTGCAACAGGCTTGTCATATAAAATTGAGTCACCTAAATTTATCTCAAAGTATTTGTCTTCCATGTGCAAAAGGGAGTCAGGGGACATTATGGTCTGGATGAGCCTGAATCTTAGTCCACCCCATGCCTGTAGGAGATACAACTTCCTAGAGAAGACAAATCCTGTACAAAGGAGCTTGGCAAGAATTTCTCTTTAGTTTTTGTTTGGTTTTTAATTTGTTTGGTTTTGGTTTTTTGAGATAGAGCCTTGCTCTGTAGCCCAGGCTAACCTGGAACACATTATGATTCTCTTCCTACAGCCTCCTCAGTGGAGGTCGACCAGCATGGGCCACAATGCCTGGCTTCTTGGATTTGGGATGTTTGGGGTAGGTGGTTACAACTGCTTATTCCACAAAAACTGCACATGTTTATCCAATTCTAGCACTGTTTCTGTACAAATGCCTAGAGCATAAAAACACTATATTGTTTGCATTAAAATGTTAACAAGAAAAAGATGATGTGTGACCCCCTTTCTTTGCCACACAGCCAGCTATCACCTAAGAGTCAACAGCAGGTGGAGCGCCTCTTTCAGACTTGCCCTTGGAGAACTGCTTTTTGAGAAGCAGGGTCTGCCTGTGTCCTTGTGTCTCAGTGGGCTTGAATGCTTGACACAGAGCACTCTCTAGGCAAGCATGGAGTGCCTGCCCTCACCCACACTACCTCCCTTCCCACTGCACTTTAGGAAGTAAGACCCAAAGATGGCTTAGAGCTTACAACTCCTATAGGTAGATTTTCCATTCAGATCTGTCTCAAGATAACTCGTGGCTGCTCTTAGTGATAAGTGGAAATGTTAATAATATTTAGGTTCATTTCCACCTGTTTCTTAAAACTTGATTATTAACAGTAAATGTCTCCAAAATGTTAATGGTTTCAGGCCTGCCTGGAGATGTCAAATCAGTGGTGGAGCAGTTGCTTAGTATTAAAGTAATAGTTATTAGCTCCTGCTCCATGGAAGAAAGAAGTCTGGCTGGACCCCTGATCTAGAGTTTCTCACAGGCTACATACACTCAGGTTGGTTGGCCAGAGCTGAGATATTTCATATCCCCAGTGAGGAAAGCCTGCACACAAGCTCACCTGTGGGTTTGGCAGGATTCAGGTCCAAGCAGGTCTCACCAAGGAACCCAGCTCACCACATAGGTCTTGGCTTATGGGAAAGAGCCAGAGACTGCAGAGATACAAGGTTGGTCTTCAGCCACTCAGCTCTGAAAGGCTTCCATCTGCTGTTATGACAACAGTAGTCCTGTCCCACACACTGGGAAGGAACCCACAATGACTGCATGAATGCAGGAGGCAGGGACTCTTGGAAGCCATATTATTCAAAGCTGTCTGCTGCATCCTACCTGGCCTTTGCTAGACATGTTTCTCCCTTAAATTAGCAAGTTCTTCAATCTTGATTATCCTTGGAAGTTCCATTGTGATCCCCCCACACACACCTCAAGAAAGGAAAAGGAAGTTGGGAAGCCAGGTGTTCGAGGATTGCCTTCATGGGTTACCAAAGCCTCGGAGGCCAGTGGGGACAAAGACCTCTGGAGCCATTCTATCCCAAGATTAAAACTGGCATGTTAAGACGCCCAACAAACTTCATATGCAGAGGGCATATGAAGACAGCTAGTGCAATTGTTCTTGTGACCAAATTGCAGACTTATCTGTCTGCCTTGATTCAGCAATAGGAAAAAATAATAGCACTGCCAATTCTACAGGGCTCACCACTTGGTTAAGGCATGAGTAGGGTGAGGATGTGGAATGTGTTTGCACACACCACCCTTCTAAAGAGAATCTGGTGTACAAACATACTTGTGCTGTGTGCTCTATGTCAAGCCAGCTGCATCAGTTAATCCTCATATTCTGTAGGAATCCCAACTTCTCAACTTTGGCTTCCCATATTGACTTTAGAACCTAAGACTGGGAAGCTGCATTTTGACTAGGATGTTTGTTTCTCATTTCTCAGTGCTGAACCGTAGCACTGCTGCACTTTGACTAAGATGTTTCTCATTTTTCAGGGTTGTACCATCAACATCTAGGGCATATGGTCCCTGCATTGTGTGAAATAATTAGCCCAGGAAAACCCTCTGGGCTCCCTGGAGTCCCTTTCATTGGCATGACAGCGTGTGCATACCTTGGGGTTGTGGTAATGGGGACCACTTCCGAAATGCAAAGCTGAGCTGGCTTGGAGCAGATAACTGAGATGAGTGAGCAAATTATCCAAGTGCCAGTGGAGCTAAGCATCACAATCCGGCAGGCTGGTAAGGGAAACAGAAAAGAGGAAACGACCTGTCACACTACCTTATCCAGATGTAGCCAGTCTGGCACTTGGAAGGAAGCAGCATTTGAGAGCCATGAGCAGGGAATGGAGCCCTGCAGCGAGAAGTAGGACTTGGGGTGTGGCTCTGATGAAAGCCCATACAGGGCCCTATGTTTCATACCAGCACCAGTTAGCAGCGCAAGAGTGGGAAGGAGCCATTTCAACCACTACAGTGTATTGAATTCACCTGCTGGACCTAGCTCCTCATTAAGAATGTTAAATATTGTTTTCCCTGTTTTAGAGATGAGAAAACAGACTGAGCAATAAGAAAAGACCATATAGCTGGGCAGTGGTGGTGCACGCCTTTAGTCCCAGCACTGAGGAGGCAGAGGCAGGTAGACCTCTTGAGTTCTAGGACATGGTCTACAGAGTGATTTCCAGGTCAGCCAGGGATTTATAGTGAGACCCTGTCTCAAACCCTCCCCCTCTTACTCTAAGAGTTCTGGTAAGAGGCGAAGGGAGAGTGGGCTTCTAGCTCTGGCCCTCTGAAGCTGCTCATTGTTGGTCAAGGGCCTCTTTTCCCTAAAGCAATTGCCCTTGAAGCCTCACATCCACAAACAGAACCCATTGCCTGGGGCCATTTTTTTCCCTCCATCTGGCAGCCTGAACCAGGAGTCAAAGTTAGATTTCCTAACTGTACCTGCATTTCTTTTTTCTACTTAATTGCAAACTGAGTCCTCTGCAGCTGATACTGAAGAGCAAGAAGGTCCAAGGACCCTTTGAGTTCCCTGTCCATGCGATTGACACTTCCATAGAGAAGCCAGTCTAATCAGACACTTTAGGCTGTGCCTGTGAGCTCTGCCATTAATTCATCCTCCTGCTGTACTTCATAAAATCGTTCTTGAGACTTTTTAATGTTTTATTGAGGTGCAAGTTTACGAGGAAGCAAACCTTTCCAACTACAGCAAGAGTAACCTGCCTCCTTGGCATATTAAAAAATAATGTTAGTGTCGGGTTTTACGTCCCACAGTTTGGATTGCTGATAAGAGTGCTTCCCTTGACAAGATTCTTTTTGAGGTTTACAGAAAGCGTAATAAAATATGTAAGTTACATCTCCACAAACAAAAGCTATAACATAAGTTATTTATAAGCGTGAGATACAAACAGTATCATGATAAATAAGCCATAAAGGGTACCTGCAACATCCATCTTAATGTAATTTGCCCAACAAAGGGGTTGAAACCAAGTCAAAGTCAGTGGAGAGAATTTGTCAGGAAAGAAGCAAAGCTGTAGAGCACAAAATGGGGAAAATGGCTGATGGGTGAGGGACAGAAGAAGCAGGTGTGAGGTGAGGCTTAGAGGTCCCAGACAAGACTGCAGCATATGCTTGCCCAAAGGGACTGCCCCACCCCACACAGCCTGCCATCTGCACTTAGTCACAGCTCAAACACCCTCCAGTACCTACCAGCCCTTAGGGAAAGGAATATCCTTGTTCCCTTCCCTCCTGTCCTGTGGTCTCATGCTACTGCCAACTTCCTTCCAGGATTAACCCTTCATCTGCTCCAACGGTTCCCAACCTGTGGGTCCGTGACACCTTTGGCAAATCTCTGTCTCCAAAAACTATTTATGTTATGATTCATAACAGTAGCAAAATTACAGTTATGAGGTAGCCATGAGAGTAACTTCATGGTGGTGGGGGGGTCACCACAACATGAGTGTTAAAGGGTCACAGCATTAGGAAGGTTGAGAACCACAAATGAGCCAATGAATGAAACCAAGTCTTTGTCCTCTCGGCTGTATCGGCAGGTCAGATGCAGCACAGTTCAGTGAGAACCAGAAACTGGAATAAAGAAGAACTGGGGCCAGGGATGCTTCAGAGAATGAGAGGGGTAAGAGGTGACGTGTGTTGAACAATCACCTCATTTCCTTGACGCGTCAAGCCCAGTGGTGAGATCTCATGTGCACCCACCACCTAGGGCCCCTTTTCCTTCTTTCTGCTGGCAGTTGGAGCCTTTTCAGATCCCCCAGGAACATTCTTCCCAGAGCCCTTCCCACTGTGGGAAACTATGATAAGGACTACTAGATAAAGAAAGTAAGTCTGAAGGGTTGGGTAGCTAGGAAATTTGAGTATATGCTCAGCAAATATGTGTT